AATTTCACTGATTTGTTTTCTTTAATATTAAATCACTTGCTGCACAAAAAATCTGAACAAAACCCTCTCACTCACACACAACACTACATTTTATAACATTCACAGTAGCAGATGAAAATGCCAAAAGGTGCGAGACAACTTGGCTTGATATTGTTGACATGTTATGTAATAGAAAGTGGAGTATTGTTGCCGGAAAAAACATCTGTTTTCCTTTTTCACACAAGACTGCCTCATCTAGTGCCTGTGAAATTTCAACAAGATCCCACAAAGAAAGCTCACCAACCTTGCCAGCATTTACAACAAAAGAATTCAGAAATAATAGTTTTTTAGCAGGCTGCTTTTCCTGTTTTGTCCTTGCATACACAGACCAAGTTGTGGGTCACAGAAAGAATAATAGGACAAAAAGTAGGACAAAGGAGCAACACCATTAGACTGGACAAACACAAAGGTGATGATTTATGCAGTGTAATCTCTGGTGCACCTGTAACTTTTGATGGAGGGTCCATGGGGATATTGGGGATTAAATATAGCATTAAATCTATATACTCTGATTTACATGTCAAATCTGCAGAGAAGCTGTCCCATTAACAGTTTCAAGGATTTTTTGTGAAATCAAAACACATGTAAAGACTAAGCAGCTCTTGTAGAAAAATAGACATCATGTTCATTTCTGAGTGTGAAGAGTCCAGTTAGGCCTGAGCAAACAATAGAACAACATATGCACTCAAAGGCACAGTTCTGGTTGTTTATTATCCTACACAGACAGCTCAGTGCAATCCATAAAACCATGTAGTGATTCTTTTAACAGCACTCAAGCTGTTATGTGTCAGGGCTCATTTCAAAAGTCGATGTATTTTTGCCATCATTTCACGAGCCCTTCACAAACGCACTCTAATCACATGCATGGAAACAAGGTGTGTAGCACTCAGCTCCCCTCTGTTTAGAAAAAATGCAAATGTGTGTTATTAAGTCCAATCACCGCTGCCTGCCTGGGTATAATGTTCATCAAGGAGCTAATCTCTACAACGCACTGTGAAGCAACTCGGGGAGCTTTAAAACTCCACTGTGCTGCGCTCCTGTGTTTAATATGCAACCTACGGCCCAGATTAAGCTGGGAGTACAACGGTGCCCAACGCCAGGGGAACACATAAAGATGCTCTCCAATATGAACCATGTTGTGGACACTAAACAAAGGTTTCAACAGTGTTCGGATTTTTGAGTTCATTTGTTTTTAGAGTTGTAGAGCACTGCTACTGAATTGTAATGCATTCTGTAATTTTAAAATGGAGATGATAAGAGTAACTATTAGAATAAGAACTTAAAGCGAGTAGGAATCAGTATTGCTTGCTAAAGAGATTTTAGCAATTTGGATCATTTGATTATATTATTTACAGTAATAAGTGGATGTATACATTAGGTACAGTATAATCACAACATATATATCTGCAATGTGCTCTTTGTGATAATGAGTCATTATAAATTATTAATAAGGTGTTGATAATGAGTCATTATCAGAACATGGATTTATTATCATTATTGCTGAAGCTTGCCCTTCAAAAATAAGACTGTGCACATTAAAATCTGTGTTCAGTTAGCCACTAGGCAAACATTGGCTGCACTCCTCACAGAACAGCCTCTTTCAACTGGACGATAACGATAGTAGTAAATAACAATATTAATAGCTTTATAAAATATAATGCCACAGGAGGTTAAAGGCATTTACTCTCTCATGCAACCACAAATTATAATTCTAACTTCCACTTCCCTGGTCATTCTCAGAAAATTACTTCTTGACAATTATTACCTGCAAATTACTTGAGAATTACCATTACAAATCACTTAGGAATCCTGAGTATTACCCCTTGCTGTCTTCAGAGAGGGCAAGGGCCTACATGCAGCTTCCAGCTTTAATGTGTTATTATACTTTACTGACTTTATTTAGAAAAAATTGTCCATAGGGGCAATAGATAGTAAGGAGTAGATATTTCTTGACAGTTAAAGGCTCAATAGAGCCATGAGAACTCATCTAAACACCTCTGGCAGTACTTGTGGGAAGAAAGTCATCTCTCTTCACTTGGGTCCATGTGTTAAGGCGTATTAGAGAGACAGTTTGGCTGATACAAGACAGCATTTTACTGCTCCTGTCAAACTGTCTGCTGCTGCAACATTCATTACACTGGGGACTAGTCTGCAGAAATACTGTCGTCTTACATTGACAAGATATGTCAAACCTCTAGTCTTTTCTGCCCCTAAGAAGGCTATACACTAACAAGCATTATGACTGCTGCAGGGGGATAAAAGCTGTCCTGTCACCACTCAGTAGTGTACACTTATTTGCCCTCATCATACAAGGGCTTGTTTGAGGTCCAAACTTCTCATATTTGAGGAGCAAATTTCTAGGAGTAGAACCTGGGACGATTGCTATAAAGTGTACATTGTGCACTGTTAGAGAGGTATTGTAATAAAGTGAATGGTGGTATTGCTTTTCTTGATTGAGACCTGCAGTTGCAGTTTAGGGGTAAATTTATGTTAATGAAAAACCTGTACAATTTTACTAGTGCATTACAAAGAGAATGAAAGCTGTCAGTCAGTAATCATTCGTACACTTTTTTACCCCGTGATTATTTTACACTGTAGAAGAATAACAAATCCACCATGCTCAAATCGTATGAGCCTCCTTTCAGTGCTTCATGTATGTTACATTATTCATTCACTCTTCAGTCTCCATGCTTGATAGTGGTGGTATAGTCCTGTAGCCACAGCTGCCCTGGGGCTACTGACCATCCCAGATTAACCCACATTTACACTTGCTGCCTGCAGACCTATCAGAATACACTGATCAGGCATGCCAACTCTACCACCTTAGCCACATGCATGATATAAGAATACTATGAAAATCCGTGGGCCACAGAACCTGAAACATTTTTTCCATCTCGTTCTGTTCTGTCCCTGTGGAGTCTCCCAGGTGTACTCCTAACTCCTGTGCTTGAGCAGGAAGCCACACTTCATTAAGGCTTGGACTGATCCTGAAGCAGAGCCGCCCGAGGCCAAGTCAATGATAGAGTCAGAATCAAAATGGGAGAGTTAGGCTGCCGGGCACGCCCACACACACACACACACACACACACAACAGCCACAGGGCAGAGAGGCTGAGAGCTACGGGCAGACGCTGTTCACAGACCGGAGGTAATTAAAGCTACAAGGCCATTTCAGAGAGACACTTTTTTTTTTTTTTTTCATTTTTGTTGTAATTTGTGCAGTTACACAAGCAGAAGAGTTGAAATGTAATGTATGTAGACTGAAATACAGTTTTGAATGGTCTTTGTGGTAGAAAGAGAAGTTGACAAACTAATCCAACAATGACTATGTTGTTTTTCATGTGTTACTATGGCATGACAGTTCCACAGGTATTATTAGTGTCTCCAAAGGTTTTTGTTTTGAAGTATTATTGCAGTGGACAATGGCAAGGTTTTTGGCATGGTATGGATTATAGCAAGGTGGTTGTGTTTGGTTGAGTCTCCATGCAGAACTCCATACTGCACGATAACATCTCTAGCCTCTTGTGGAGCATGCAAATAAAGCTAAACAGTTGTACACAGTCTAGCCCACTAGACATATTGTTGTCCTCTAGGTGGACTATGCACACTTGACTGGGTGATGGATGCATAACCCTAAACCACTGCTGTCCAGACATTTTAATGATGGCCTCAAATTGCAACATATTCAAAGTGGAGGGCCACAAACAAGTGATCAATACAGTGGACCATTTAGATGGGTGCATTTTACATGGTTTTAACAGAGCCATTGTATCTTTAATAAGAGTTGTGGCAGAAATGTTTGGTCTGTATAACAATGGCATGTGATGTTATTCAGGTTTTAGAGGGAAAATTAGTTAGCTTTTGTAAAATACGTCAATTTGCACTATTCTTCATATGTACAGTTTTAATTTACACTTTCTTAAATACAGGTAATATGCAACAGATACCATACATATTTCATGCCATGTTTCATCTCAAGTACAAAAGTTCTCTCTTGAGTGATCTCTTTTCTTTGCTGTTTGATCAAAGACAAAGTCAGTTTACCATGACACTGTGAAGAAATCCATTCAAGCTACTTTCACTATAGAGTAGGCACAAACACTGACAGCTGTTGCAACACTCGTTCTAGGGTACTGATTTTTCATTCCGTTTGCCAAACACGACAAATGAGGCATAACAGTGGTGAGGAGTGCAGTGCTTGACTGGGGCAGTTTAATTGTCGTGGTGTGTTTCCTTTGTAAAGATAATGATGGTACACTTGTCCATTTGTGCAGGGTTTGTGTGGTGTGGGTGGGCTCATGCCAACATATGTGCTGGCATGTGCCTCTGTGTGTGAAGACCAGCACAGATGGAGACAACGGACCAGCGATGATGAGGGAAGAGGAGACTGGCCAATGTTGTCGCGGCAAGACGACACTTCTGGCTTGGCCATTTCACTGTTTTCTTCTCATTTGTAATGCTTTGAGAATTATTATCACATACAAGCATTTATATGAGATTACTCCATGACATTAAAGTCATTGGAGTTATGTGTTTTATCTTATGAGTGAACACAATCCTCCACATCACATCCATCCATCCAAGTCTTCACATAGCAAAACAACAGAACAACAGACTATATTGTTTTTTTGAATTTCTATGAAAAAAAAAAAATAAATAATAATAATAATAAAATAAATAAATAAATAAAAAATCTGTATTCGGTTTGAATAATGTCCACATTCTACCATATTAAATTCATTACAAAATGATCTGCACCAAATTCTCAAAGATTGCAGGATGAAGGATGGAAGCATGATTTTGAGCCTTTTGAAATATACTTTGGAAATTTGATTCTCCTGACCAATATCTCTTTTTCCCATGTCTCAAATCCTGGCATTAGCTTCTGTATCAGAGCCATAAGAGCCCACTGAAGTGAAGACTAAAGTGATGAATGCCCTTGAGTGGAAAGCCGTTTCTTACCTCCAGGTAAGCTGATGGGGCCACAGCCTTTGCCCTGAGGGTCCTCTCGTACTATGTAGATACTCTTCTTACAGAGCCTCCAGAGGCCAAAGTGTGCTGCTTCACAGGTGGCATTGAGCTTCTCCACACGGGGGCTGAGTACTGCCCAGTGGTCCGTCACCACGGCTGCCAGCATGGACAACATGCCCACCACAATCACCACAGACGTGATCTTCACCTTGGTGGCCTGCTCCTCATACATGTCCGTGTTTGTGAGGTTGGCTGAGGTCACTGGACTCCAGAGGTGTCCTTCAGGAGAGGTGTTTTCACAACAGCACAGTGTCCCTGTGAGCTCTCCACCGCTCACTCCTTCGTCTTCTCTGCCTTGTGCCTATGCTCCGTAAAAAGGGGCCAGATAACATTGGCCTAGTTTTCTCCTCCTCTCCCTCCTGAGTTGCCCTTGTGGAGCTGGAGCCATTTTGCGCTTAAATGAATATACTGAGGTGTGTTCTTGGACTTTTACAGATTTCTGAGGCATCATGTGACAATCTTTGTTTTAGTGTGTGGTGATTTGTATTTTTAGAGACATTTTTTTCACCATGCCAGGTATGTATCATGTTTAAACTCTTTCCATTATCCCATGTTTGGGCCAAATACAACTAATCTAAAACCAGTTATTTGACTGTGTTGCTACAAAATAGTTAAAAGTACAAAGTCTGTGCATCGCAACTACGTAGTACTTATGAAAACTGAATTAACTCTCCAATCAGTGTTAACCTGTGCTGTTACTAACCAGTGTCTTTTATCCTAGAATATTCTGTGTCAAATTCCAATAGACTGTAAAGTGCGGGCAGCTCATTAGTTGCTGTGCCAGCGGACTCCTCAGGGACACTTCCTTTATTAGATGATCGCCTCAGAATGAGACGGTCTACTTATTCAACCAATCAGCTTCTGAGATCTGAGAAACAGGTCCCACCTGATGCAGCAGATGATCCAGATTTAACAAGATTGAAAAATCCTACCTATGCAATTAGTAAATAAAAAAATAAAACTTTTTTGAGTGTTTACCAGTTTTTGAAATGTTTGGACGTCATTATGAGTCTGCAGAAGTCAGAATGAAAGGAGCTGCTTTTTATAAACTGCCCTGCCCCACTGGAGACAGGACTGTGGCCCATTTTAGCACTTACACACACAATGCCCTAGCTTCTTAAAATACTGAATGACAGAATATTTCCAGATACATGAATTGAAAAAGAGTCTGAGCCATCATTTCAGCTGGTCTATTTTTGCTTTTACCTTTTTTTATTCAAAGAAATAGTGATTGCTGAGGGTGCAAAATTGTGAGTAGCCAAAGCAACAATTTAGGCAGAAAAATGGAGAATTGGGTAGAGGAACACAATGACTATTCACTGGCAAATAAAAAAAAAAAAAAAAAAAAGAGAGAGACAAAATTATATCTGCAACCTCTGTAGGCCAGTACAAATGATGATACATTTTTAAACACAAAACGCAAAAACATAAAAAAGATATTTACGGGGACATATTATATAAAATAAACATTTTAACAATGTTATGAAACATGTTCCCTTAGTTGTATTTTAGTAGATTCTGATTCTAATCCTGTATAGTTTTGCATTTGAGGTTTGAGTGTTTCTATTGATTTCTATTTTCACCTACCTCTGTCCTTGACTATTTAAAAGATTCAGATGCCAAAAATACGACCATGGAGTTCCAAAGTTTTTAACAGGAAGTCAGTGAACTTTTGATCAATAACTGTTTACAAAGAATAAAATGTAAAATAATGATCTTTACCTGTTTTGATACTTGCCCCAAAAGCCTTATGTTTCCTCTTGAAACTCTTAAGTGATACAAACCTTTCTTCTAAATCAAACCTGCTCTAAGTTGAAAGAAACCACACCATGTTTTCTGTAAACACAAACAATGGAAATGAATCATCTTTTATAAACCAACACTGAAGAAACATCATTCTCTCTCTGGGCCTGTGTCTTCCTTTTCCCTCGGGACATCTGTCCTTAAGTGTGTAATAATAGTGTATTAAAGGAGGTTCCATGTCTTGCCGTCTTGTCTGGTGGCCTTCTGACCCCCTCATTCACTCTTGGCCCTTCAGGGGAGTTGTAGACTATGCAAGTGTGTGTGTGTGTGTGCGTGCGTGTGCGGGTGTGTGTGTGCGTGTGTGTGCGTGTGACTGTGTGAGAGACAGTATTGGACACAAACACACAAACACCTTGCATCGGCTGCGTCTCCAAGCAACAAGCGCTGGACGAGCGCTGGGCAGTGCGTCACTCACACTGGGTGTCGTACACCAGGGGGATCACCGTTATCATGACAAAAGAAATCTCTGAAAACACTGAGGGCCAAAAAGGTCTTGCATTCACATGTCATTGGTGTTCAACAGTCAGTTTTGGTATGTAGCACAAACCAAAAATCACTGAAATGAGGATTGACACGTGAACTCAACAGTGATTAGCTTCAATTACGGTTACCCAGGTTTTATTCCTGGCTGAAAAAAACATGCTTAATTGGAGGCTAAATTTACCCGTACCAGAAGAGATTGCCTGGCCTTCAGAGGAGACCCAACTGTATTCATTTGCAAATGACAGGCAACATTACTCAAACAGAATTAGATTAGCCATGCCCACAAGCCATTTCTATGAGGGTCATGTTAATATTCCATCACTATGAAAACAACAGAAACAGTTAGAGCGTGTTAGCATGCGTGTTAGCCTGCTTCTCTGTCCCATTTGACCTTACAGCTCGGGAGCCTCTGGACACTCAGCTACATGATATGTGGAATTGAACCTAATGAACACAAATTGCACATAAATAAAATTAGACTGAAATTGCAAAAACATTGATGTAGTTGTTTTGTAGAAACATGGGATAACAACCAATATATAATTTTCCCTGCTGGGTAAACAGCGTACTCATAAAGAAATAGATTGGCTGCTAGCGAGAAATTGTGATGAAGAATAGTTTAGATGGCATCTGAAAGGATAGAACACTGCACTTAAAGTTTCAAGAGCCAGTTTGAATGACTTTCCTCAAAACAATGTAACTTTAGACTAGAGTGGTCTGGCAGCTCAGCTCTGAGCAGCTGAGAGGTGAACAATCAAGATTCAAGGTCATCCACAACTAACTGCCCTCCATGGAAAACCTTTTTTAAAGAGACACAACAATGTAACCCTGATTTAATTTATTTTTAAATATACAATAAAAAGGACAGTAACAAGACATGAAACAGGAAGTCTGTAACAAAGGCACTACTATTCAATGTCAGAAAACATAGTTCTGGTCCTTTTTTCTTGAGTAGAAACATCCCATTAACGCATCAGCACATTGACTTGTTTAATCACAGTCCTAGGCTCGACTGTTGCTGTTTTTCAGATTTCGGTGATTATTACCTGTCACGTGTGGAGTAAAGTGTTTATTCAGAAATGACACTTGGCAGGGAGTTTTGTCTCCTCTTCATTCTCTAACATTCATTCTCTAACACTAGGATTATTATCTACATGAAAACAATCAGGTACATCTTAAAGGTCTCTTTAGATAAATGGTTCTCATTCCTGTTTACTATGTATTTGGTACCTAGGAATGTTCAAAAGACTCCATAATGTGGGTTATATTTAGGTTCTGTAGAACTTAGTGTGGGTCCAACATGTTTGGGGCAGTGACCCTCAGACCCAGTGCTCAAGCTGGTTAACATGTATTCTACTGGACAGTGCTTTAATCACTTTGAGAGTTGTAAAGTCATCTGTTAATTAAAATTGATTGGTGTATGAATTTGATTAAGCATTTACACACTTTATGTTACCAGTTTTGAAATGCATCAGGCTTTGCCATTGAGCAGACAATCAAGCATGAGTATGCATCAAAAGTAGACACTTTTGGATTCTGGTTAAGGCTATTGAAGTTCAAGAACTGCAAAAGGTGCCCTGCCAAAGGGCCTTTAAAAACAAAGTAAAGGCAATCCCCAAAATGAGTCGTTGAATTGTGAATCCTGGCTTTGGTATGGAAAAATTAACTGGTTATCTATTATCTAAAAGACTGAGCATCCACCTCATGAAAATCCTATAACTTCCTCAAATGCTATACGGTAAGCAACACGTGACAAAATTTTATGTTGTTCAATGTTTGTTTTTTGTTTTTTTTTTCTTGCTAAGCTATTCATCGGTTCCATTTGTGCTTCTGACAAGTAAATTGTACCCATTTCACAAAAACAATAATAAGCACATTCAGCAAAATACGGCTGTTGCACAACAGTAGAAAATGTACTTTGCTCATGTTTTCTTATGTGCCACCTTACTTTACAAAACAAATATTCAAAATACAATAGTTTGGGGCTGAAAGCCACTGTAAGCAGAATATAACTGATTCACTGTAGAATGATTCCAGATTACAAAAGGTTCACCTGTACATGTCCTAACATGTTCTCATACATTTATATACAAGAGGTGACTACTTTACAGTACAAACACATAGAGATTTTTTTCACACTAGAAAATTGTACAGATGGCTTTCTTTTACATAGGCTTGTTTCGTCCCTTCTTTCTTTGTACGATACCAAAAACACTGAAAAGAATCCAATATTGTATTTAAGGTTTGTGAGCTTGTTAGAATCCACAACCAGCTAAACAGCCCTAAGACTGTAAAGACACACTGATCAAACATTCATTCATAGGATCATAATGGCATTTTTTCCAATTGTACTAAATGTATAATCATCTCATAGGCTATACCTGAGAGAACTAAAGACAGTACAAGTAAAACGGTGGATACCAGGGAGATATATGGTTAGAATGACAAACAACTGGACACAGTGGAGTTCACAATTTGGTGTCTGGCTCAGATCTTTAGTTGTGACTGGCATACACAGGTTTACATCCAGGTGGAAGGACAGTCCAAAAAATACGGAAGATACGCACATGACAAAAACTGACATTAGTTCACGGCGATAAATGCTGGAGGATAAACTCGCTCCTAAAGGCCTACAGGGGGAGAGCATAAGGCAAAACTTAACTTACAGATACATGTGGAGTCGACTTTTCATTAGCACCATCTTATGTAATTTACAAGTCTGCCACTCTTGGACATGGTGTGTAGCAACAGCTGCTCAGGTCAAGAAGGCTGTTAAGTGCACACTGCTCATTTAGCGAGCCTGCGACAGCTGAAAGGTAACACTGATTTGGCTATGGCACACTTAATGGGAAATCTGCTTTGAAAGTCTTAAGCAACGAAAAGAGAAACACATAGTTTAAATGACTCTGTCCAGATCTCTGTTTGAAATGTTCTCTTCAAGAAAGCCTCTTCAGTTCATGACTATTGCAAGACAGGTCAGACATGTTGGTTTTGTTTTAAAGTGAAGCTATTCACACTGGCGTTGTCCTGCGGTTGCCCCCATCTTTTAAATCGTTGGGAAAACAGTTATGGACCTGTAAGAACTCAGCTGCCGCTTCGTGTTCTGGGCTGTAGGTGTTTTCGGTGACACTATCACGTGCTAGTGCGTACATAGACAGTTCATCTAGAGGTCCGCTGGAAGACGGTGCCCTCTTTAGGCCAACTACTGGAGAGTTTTCACGTGACGCTTCAGTTGAGTGAGAGCTTGTGTGGGACGTCCGCCGACGATAACGAAAACTGGGTATCCTGGAATAAGGAGAGGAGGAGGAAAGGGAGCGAATGAACTCTCGCCGTGCTTTCCAGCGAATCTCTTTGTTTTTCTCAATGTAAATGTTAATGGCCAGCACTGCCACAGTCTCTGCCACAATGAAGGAGAGGGCGCCAAAGTAGAAGGACCAGCCGTAGGAGTAGGTGTATTTTTTGTCATCGTCTCGTTTGTCATTGGGGTCACCAGCATTGCTGGAGATGTACACAATAATCCCAATGATGTTGCTTAAGCCTAAAAAGAAAAAGACACCAAGTCAGTGAACTTTTAATAATATTTGGTAGTGCACATTATACCAGTGGGTACAATTTAAGATAGCTGAACAATGCTTGCCTGACCAGCCAGTCCTAATTAGAGACGATTCAACCACAGCTGTTAATTTGTAGCACGTGTCTTATACCTGAGATAAGTAACAGTTTGGTGCTTCACTGGTTGATTCTGTAAAAGTCTGTGCTGTTTCTCTGTGTTTTATATAGTTTTTTCTCCTTTTTTATGTGTAACAAGCCATGTTTGTTTTTGATGCGAACAGAGCATGTGTCTCTCTGATTAATCCTCCTGCCAATCATGCCCTCTGAAATCGGGGAGACAAGATACAGCTCCAGATCCACTCATCTTTGTAAAATTTTATCAAAGTGTGGTCAGGCTGGTCAGGTAAGAACTGTGCAGTCACAATCAGTAACAAGGCACCAATTTCAAAAGGCCAGTTTAATAAATGAAACAAGCATTAGTTTTGGTTGTCCTGCTGCTGTACAGTGCCATTACATTCCATTCTATTGTTGACACAAAGGGCTGGAATGATGATTGCTCGACACAATCACAGGTCTAATCACTGACAGAAGCCACATTGTCCAGTGGAGTTCATCTTTATGATTGCTCCATTGATCATGCTGGACGTATGACCACAGGTGGCCCAACTGCAGTCACCTCTTTCTGGGCTAAAACTCACCAATGATTGGCCCTGACTGTGAGCCCTGGTGTAACACTCACCTGCTGCTACAAACAGGATGCCCGCACTCAGAAGGACCGTGTTGGTTCTATTATAGAGACGACCCACCCCCACACACAGCCCCCCGAGCATCAGCAACACAGTGCTCAGGATGGGGAACATGCTGGAGGCACGCACGATACCTGCACACACACGGACATCACGTTAATAGAGCCAATGATCGGAAAAACAATGCAATTCAGACAAATGTCAGTGTATTTCAAAACATTATATAAATTTTAATAAGCTTATCTTAATTTTTAATGACATATTGCTATAAATATTTTTGGGCCAATTCTTGGGTTTAGAAGATAAAAAAGTTTGGAGATATATTGTTACTATATGTAATTACTACATGTACTTGAATCTACTGGGGGATGTTCACAGAAATAAAAAGGCTGTGCTATTTGACACATTTCCAAAGATGGTGGAGTCTATTGAACTGTAAAGCTGGCCTTCTACGCAGCCTGGTTAATGGGCTGCACTGATAACACTTTTTGTTCTCTCTGTCATAATAGGCAGATCCTGAATTGGCTGCGACTTCATATGAGGTAAAGCCAAACTCATCACAATCCTTCATGAGTCATTTTTAATTGTTTGTCAGGGAAATTAAAGGGACCTCATTACTGAGCAAAGATGGATTTAAAAAAATCATTATCGTGAAATAACAGAGTATTAAATTAAGATTAACCTCCTGTTCCAACTTCAAATAAAAACTCACGCAGTAGGTACTCAGAGCTGTCTGTGTCATAGTCATTGTCATCAGGAAAGTGGTTGATTCTGTAACAGCTGCCTTGATTGATACCTACAAAACAAAGAAAAGACATTTGGGGTCAGATAATGAATCACAGCCCACTTGCACAACTGTCTGGAGAACACTAATTAATAGGGGCTTTGGAGCAGGAAATGTACAACATATTTTTAGCCTAATAACATAGATATTATTTCACTCAAACCAACAAGTCACATTTATGTACTGTATGTGGTCTGTGATTGAATATAACATAATGCATTTACATTACAGAACAAAAGAAAAGTGTTATGCCATGTTCATGCCTGCATCTTTTCTTTATTTACTAAAATTAGAGCTGCCTGGAGAATTAGAAACACAGCTCACAGTGCACAGTGTGAGCATTTTCACCCTTACCGTATACATTAAAATGGTCTCTTCCTCTGAGTAACTGGAAACCAAAAGATCGGCTTTGCTTAAAGGCACCAAATCAGTTTGAACAGCAGTGCCCTGAGCACAGGCCATAGTGCCTATAGACAGATATGAAGAGTATACAGTAGGTGGGAGAGATGGAGGTTAAAGGGGCCTCTGGCTGTAAGTGAGCAGAATAAACAACAGCTCGTGGAGAGAGGGAGGTGGGCCGGGTTAATGGATGTGCACAAAGATGTGCGGTTAGCTAATTCACCGTTTGGACCATGAAACCCACCATGTGTCCGTCAGCAGCACACAGGAAATGTTACCATTACCATTACAGGGTGAAATTAAATATTGTTTAGATATTATTTAAATTATACAGACAAAAACACCTTTATATTTTTAACATTGATGTTTCAGTGAATATGTTGTGGGTATAAACAATCAGTGATTAAGCTGAAATCACAGAGCAGGATAAAGTTTTTAGATTTAACCTGTCTGAGCCTGGAAAGCGTGAGAATTCTACATTTGATAAATGCTGTTTTAGAAACTCTACAAAGTTATTATTCGACACGCCATGATGTGACATACGGCCATTAGCATTAAAACTTCACGATGTAACTCAAAGGGCCCGCCATCTGCTTGTCTACAGAGGGATGTAACTGTTATGTCAATACAATACAATGCAATTATAGTATGGCATAAAATGTATCTGTCTACGGGGATAAGCAGTTGGAGTCATCAACTATTTTTAGCAGCCAAAACCTTGAATTAATACAAGATAGTTTTATGCCTTACTTAACCAGAAAAGTTAAATTATACATGTTTAGTACAGTTCCCCATCTCCTCCACTGCAGAAATATATATGTGTTTCATTATTGTGTAAATAGACAGCTGTTGTTGAATCGCCGTCACTCCCAGGACACCCGTCAACTACATTTCCCAGGTGTCCAGCTCGATGCACACCAGCGTGACTGTCTGCCACACAGCTTTAAAGGCCACACTATTAACTGGGTCTGCCGCTTAATAAAGGACATCAAATTAATTAGCGTCAAATGTGTAGTTGAAATGGAGCAGGCGTTTCTGTGTCTACTCACTGATGGGCTACAGGAAGAAAACTATTTTGAGCTTTGATGTGAGACTTCACTTCAGGAACATGTGGCTAACAAGAACAGACTAGGTAACAAAAATACAAACACCTTATCGCTGTGTTAAATGCAGTGTAAACACCAAATCACACTTTTTAAAAAATTAATATATCAAGATATTTTTTGCACTTTTTTAAAATATACTTTTCATGAAACATGTTACTTTACATATTTCTTTTTCATCCTACCTTGGTAACCAAGTGTTTAACCAGTGTGTATACTGCAGGAAATGATCCATGTGATTATAAGTCAGTTTATTTATATGTGACAAGCATTACTCTGTGGGTTAGTGCTATGTGCAGTGGTCAGGAGGGATGACTCTCATGACAGAATACAACAGAGACGTCACAGAGACAGGTGGAGCCAAAACAGAACAAGCTCTGATGCTCCTGGAGCTAATGTTAGAGCTGTGCAACATAACTGTTTGTGGCCAATTATTATTATTATTATTATTATTATTATTATTATTAGTATTATTATTATTATTACAATGAGGCTTTACTTAAAACAATGAAACTACATTTGTCTAGTCATTATTATTATTATTATTACTGAGTGAAGAATATCCACATGATCTGATACTACAGTTTTTTATGTTGTTCATTCTTAATTAAACTGCACTGACAGACTTATGGTTCTCAAGAGTGCCACATAGTGGTGGGAGGTCCTAATAAGTCTCCAGTCCCTGGGGTGTCCGATGTGTCAAGATGATAAAATGTATTGAATTTAATTTAAATATTGCATTTGCCAACGAGGTTATGTTATCAATCTATACTATATCATGAGAGAAGATTTTTAGAATTGGGTGCAAGTATTTGACAGGTAAATAGAAAATTAATCTCACCATTTTGTCCCAACGAGAGACATACAGACATTATAGTTGGGATAGCTGCTTACAGTCCACATTGTTGAGATGCACACAGACACGCAGTCTGTCTGGTTTGAGCTATATTGGTACGTATCAGAAAATATTTTGTTTTCCATTAGTTTAGTTTAAACAACACACATCACAGCACAATCACCCATTGCATAAAATAGTTAACTTGTGTTAATCCTTATAAAATATTTTTACTTTACTTAATTTTCCTACTGTTAAAGCCCCATCTCGTAACCTTGTAGCCACAAAAGATTAAATTGTCTTCTTCATTTGGGATGTTTTATTGCACTGAAAAACATGTATCCTTACTGTGAGTGGGCTTGCATCTCCACAAACTTGACTCATAGCCTGGAGGAGGGCTGACACCTGCATGTCTTAGAGGAAATGCTGTTCTTGGCTACATTATTCTACAGTATGGTGTAAAATGCATCTATCAGCGGGGAATGTTCCAAGGTATGGTTTTAACTTTCCAGGGAATCAGGCAGGTGACAAGTCAAAGTTGCACAGTGTTGCTTTAAATTCAGTATATTGGAGCAGATGGCACCTCTTTGCTTGTTTTGTGAAAAGGAGACACTCGTCTACACTGTTGTTACAGGGAGGTCAAAGGAGTCAATGGAGAGAAGAAAACTCCGAAGACAGAAGCAGCAGAAAAGGGCAAATGTGTTTTGCAGATAAAGGTCAGGATGGCTGTACAATGTGGGAAAAGACATGACCATACTGACGATAGAAATCCTTATATTACATTGAAAGGAAACTTGTACATGTAAGAATGTCACTTCAGTCTACATGATTTGACTAAAGATGCTGTTTTTCCTTTCACCTTTCAATTAAGCCTGTAAATACTATATCAACTTCTCACTTGATGCATGTTGGATGGGAGAATAATTTTTGGGGGTCAGTATTTATCACTGGTACTTTTTGGGTCATTTTTCTGTGTTATGATGAGATCTGAGCTGTAGAAGGTTGAATTATGAACTTCTATGGCTCATTATAGATACAAACTAAATATTAAAGTGTTGCATTCTGGTATTTATATGATCGTTTTTCATCTAGCTTTACTTCAAAAACATATCTCACTTCAAAATTTGTTATCGTGACAAGCACAACCAGGATAAGCCCATAGCCTTCCATTTCCAATGTTTGTAGTATTCCTCTTAGAGATGAAAGAGCTGGATCACACTAGCCTCCCTTCAAATTTATCACCCCCAAACAAGACAAACAAACTCTATTACAATCTTGTGCTGAGATTGAATTACACTGTCAAAATCTAAATGTCATGGTTATGTCATGCACAGTTAACATTAACCACACCATTGTTTAAAGTTACACTATAATAAAGTCTCCTGATTTTAAATAGAGGAAGGAGGTGCAGTTTAAACTTACTTCTAACTCTTGAAAAGTCTTATATTAGGATATCACACCCAGGTGGAAGTAAGGGGTGAGTTTTTCCAATTCATTGTGTGGAATTTTCAATATTTACAGTCTACTGTATCTTCAGTGACAACAGAGTGATCATCTTCTAGGCAAATGTAGACTCCAAATAAGCCCCAGGTAAAGGCTTTGTTTTTGTATCCTCACTCACAAAATAGAAGTTTTCTGATGGAGAGTTTGCTACCTACATATCTTCATGGAGATGTTATTGCTTTGCCTGGACTGTTTCATGGTATGACATTAAACATATAGATCTGACTTTTATTCATTATGGGTGTTTCTGTTGCTTAAAAATACAATAATTGCTTCCTGTAAAGAGGTGCGATTCTCCACAGAGCTGAATTGTAATGTAGTGTAGTGCATGTCTCCCTTGTGAAAGATACAGTAGTTTTAATGTGTACTGTGGAACATTCCAGACAAAGCAATGCCATTTCCATGGAAACAAGCAGGTGGTGGACCCTCCACTAGAAATATTACGCAATGCACCTACAAACTTTCACTGTTGTGTGAGGAGTCTGGAGAACCCTGAGAGCCATGTGAGCAGGAATAAAGGTGTATTTATTCATATTTACAATATTCAATACAAGCGTTTTCTAAATCATTTTTATGTATCTATTAAATCATTCTTTTAGTAAACATTTATTCATTTACATGTGGCTCCGTGTGTCCTCTAGGAGAGAATTGGCGTGTAATTGTAAAATCAACCAATATTTTTCCAGTCCAAGAGAGTATAAAAGAAAAGCAATTTGTAGCAGAAATCAGTGATTCAGTGATGATATGGCTGACAGTCGGTTAATTAAATTGTCACCAGGCTGCGATTTTGTCAAACACAACACTGCTGAGGATTTTCATGTATCTGCTCTGTTGGAGTCTGTGATCTGCAGTGAAGTGTGGTATGATTCAAGTAAACACTCACAAGGTTACATGGGAGTCATGACCAGGGAGGAAACTGTTTTAAATGACAAAACAGGTGATGTCCTGGTTTTGTACTTTACTTTAATCTAAAGTCTCTTGTTCCATAAAATCACAAGATTGCCCAAGATCACTATAATTGTAAAATAATCTTCATTAAACATTTGGGCAATTCCAAAACAAACACACATTTTCAGGCTTACTACAATATTATAGCCTATAGCCCTTATAGAACAGATCAAAATGTATACTGTTGTGGGAATTATTAACAATAGGCAAACGCCCTGATACAGAATATGAGGAAAGGATAAACAAGCAGGGAAATACAATAACAGAAGTGGACTGGGGTCTTTGGGCTTATTATTGTCCCTTATCCCGCAAGACTTTAATTACACTTGCATAATGCACATTCAAATGGCATAGTGTCCCCAGCTCTGTCTCAAACACACCTGCAGCCCTCTCTGTATTAGCTTGCTTTTCATGCTCGCTGCGTCCAACGTAAACAAAACCAATGTCCTACCGCTCACACCAATCTCCCACCAGCTGAGATGTTTACTGTAAATACATACCTGCTAATTGAGTTCCTAGAGGCTTTTAATGGAGTCATTATATATACGTTTTAATGCATCAACCTTTCTATGCAAATCAATGAAGTTGCGGTGGTTTGTAGGCAGTGAAAATGATTGTCAAGAAGCTACAGAATTACTCCAACATTTTGAGAGTGGCTTTCAGCTAGGTAACTGAGTGATGGTGTATATACCACTGACTGTATAAATGGATATAGGTAACTTGCAAGCCTCCACATTTGAAATAGGAAGTAACCATTGGGGCGCTTCCGGGTCCATCTACTCTGGCTTCAGTTGACTTTGAAATTGTCACCCCTCTCTTTGCACACTGAGTCTCGTCATTTTGGTCTTAAAATGTTTGTATTAACCTGGTCTATATGATCCTGGTGTTTTATTTTGCAATTTTGTCTGTAAACAAAATCTGTTCTTAATATGGAACTTGGCTATAAATTCTCTCCTATAACTGCTAGCCTCATAAGCTTCATTTGACTGGAGCCGAATGCTAAGTGTGACGTCACACTCCCATAATCCACTTCTTTATACAGTCTATGCCTGTACCTAAATCAGCTTTTTTTCTACTCATATGCAGTTTGTTGGACCCATGTGAACCAGCCTTGGTCACTTTCACCAAGTCAACCCTTTCTTCACCACAACAAGGTCCCAGTTCAAATGGCTGGCTGATTAAGACTTTGAGGTAAGGTACTGTAAGATCTGATTAAGTGAGCTGCTGATCAAGCTCAACATGTCAGTGCAATCTGTGCTTACTGTTATGGTCTGTGCAGAGCTGCCCCCCTCAATAATAAGGCTGTATTTGTCATTATGACCGGAGGGGTGTGTGTGTGTGAGGGGGGGGTGAGCCTTGTTTCCTGCTCTATACTTATGAGTCTCCATGACAACAGAGCCACTGTCCAGCAGCTTGAAGAGACACAAACTATGAACACCACAGCAAATCATAAGACATGACATTTTTGTATGTACAAATCACTGACTTTTGTGCATGATATGTGCTCATCTGCATCCAAGTTAATAAATAAAAATTATAGCCTGATTTGTAGTCTAGACTCTAAACAGATATTATAGTTAGGTTATATGACCATTTATATTGACAGCCTAATTAGAAAATAACGTTAATATTTGTTTGGGCAGTACAAAAATACATTTTAACTTTGTGTCTTACTGATACATTCTGGGGGGAAAAACAGACAGACAAAGACAAAATTTGTATATATTTGTTTCGCATAACTTTGGAATGTATTTATATAAAGCCTAATATATTATTATTTTAAGACTATAATTCTTTTTTCGCATCATCTGATAACAGCGACAGTTCTTGGAACAAATCCATTCAAGCCACATCACTTACTCATTGATAGTTGAAGCGTGGAGTCAAGAGGTTTCCGGAAGGAAAACTGGTCAATGACTGAGTGTCTGCCACTGAAACAAGACGTCATCGCGAGCGCACCTTTCCGACAAGACATGCTTTATACGAAAACAATTAAATAATGAAAGTATTGTACTACACAGGCCGTTTGTTAAGAAATTTGCTAATTTCTTTTGGACAGGACGTGAACCTAGAGTCATCTATTTTTAAAGCACCGGGCATGTTTCCATAGCAATTTCAGAGAAGTTGCCAAGCAACAGCATCGGATACAAAGAAGATATGAATGAAAGTATAGTCGACGGCGCGCACATTTCCTGGCAGGGACCGGCGCAACTGAATGGGCTCAGACGCGCCACTTGGCACCAATATGTGCACGCCACACTGTACTGGGGTAAGCCGCTGTTTACGCGCCCATGCAATTAGTATACAGTTCTAGAAAGATATCCTATTAAAACAACCAAAAAACTAAAAAAAAAAATAAAAATAAACAAACAAACAAAAAAACAAAAACAAACTATAAGCCCTAGCATATTTTACTAGCGAAAAATGCCCGTGCGTAAAGTCCTGGTTTCTCAAAATATTACAAGGCAGTGGACTGCAATATGGTCATTTGAATGTTGAGAATCCGAAAATGACGTAAACTATAAAAATGACAGTATTCTTCTATAGTTTTAAGTAGGCTAGACTAATCTATCAAAGCAAATTACATAACCTTGTCTGTGCGTAATTGTGCAAGTGAAGCCAAAGTGCATAAAACATAAAAAGTCTTACCTTCAATGCAGCAGATCCTCCAGAGCCCAGAATGGGTCAGGTCCCCCTTTTTGCTTTTGGGCTGAGGCTGACTTTCATCTGTAGTTAAATTGGTGCCGTTACAAATATATGCCCGCGAATAGAGCCAGTAGTCCGTGCCGATGGCGATAGTCATGAGACTGAACGCAGCAAAAGCTCCCACTGTGGCCAACAACGTCTGAACCCCGCGGTCACACCAAGCCATAGTGCCACATAGCCTTCAACTGTCCTCGCATCAAAGTGTGACCAGAAGAGAACCCGATGTTCACCACAGACTGGCGGTGTGAGACGCGTAAAGACCCCACCTGTTCCCACTCCACATGCTCCACAGATGTTCAAAGCGCACAGGGCAGCGCGCGCAGAACACCCTGAGTCTTTTGGACGCACCAAGAACCCCCTCGGCACTTCTTCTTTGAGTCCACTGACTTCATCTTTATCCAGCGCACTTTTGACTGTTTTTCCAGACTATGATGCCACTCAGATAAAACCCATTGCCGATATTTGCGACGTCAAGGCTCTTAAGTCAAACCCCACCCACATCATATCTAACCAATGGAAATTAAGTACTGTGGAGACAGAGCGATCAATTCAACTTTAAAAGTAGCTTAATTTATAGGCTAATGGCCGAATAGTATTTATTTTGCTTTCAGAAAGGTAGTCCTAGTAAAGAATGCTTTCGTGGCTATGCTAGTCAGATTTCCATGTGTAAATATCAGCAGTTTAACAAAAAAAATTTTTTTTAAAAAAGATTCTGAAAAAAATCCGGTCAACGCATCAGTTCTCAGAAGGCTTACAACCAGTTAAGGACAAAGGACATGAAAGGTTATCCTACTGGAGAACAGGAGAATTAGCTGTCAACCATTCTGCATGCCACATTTGTCACTTGTCGCTGTATCAAACGAAGAAATGTCCACTTACGAATTTAGCCTATTTATTTTTTTTACATTTCTAGACTCGCGGATCGTTGATTCGTACACACGGAATTGAATGTTGCTCATTTTAATCCACATTAACAATATAGGCCTATGGCTACTTTAATGTTGAAATATAACCTTTCATACAACATTTTATTCACCAATGTAGTAGGAACTGTGGTCTGAAGCTTCTATGTTTAGCCTGGATGTCCACAGCAGCTTAGAGTTGAAATTATTCTTATTTTGTCTGGCACAATTTGGGCTTCCTCTTGGTTGCCTACAAGGTGGCTTCTCAAAGTTTTTTAGCACAGAGAAAAATATGAAAAAATGAAAATATTCTAAGGACCTCCTAACGATGATATATCACAATAAAATCCACACGTTCGCCCCATGTAGGCCATAAAACTGATTTACATGAAAGCTTAATTTGTCATAGTTCTTAATTTATTGGTGTAGGGTCGTTCTTTCCGTCAACACATTGTATATTTGGGATTGTGGCCTATATAATCAGAAAACATAGCCTTGGTCTGTAACTAGGCTATGATCAATATTGTTACATATTTTGGGGAGACTAAACTCATGGTCCCCAGGCGTCCCCGGACCATGATCTGTGGCTGCTTTCCGTCTCTATATTAAATGAAGCGAGTTACTTTTATACGCCAGATGATGGCGCCAAGATACTAAAAAGGAACAAAGTCTCTGGTTGCCGTTAAACCTTTCTGCGCATGCGTAGCTTGAAGCTTTGCTGTGTGCGCGCTGTGGCTTCGGGTGCGTCCCATCTCTGTTCACTTACCTCCTCAAAGCCTCGACTCCTCGATTCCTCAGCTGTAGATCCAACCCTTTGGTGAGAGAGAACCAATAGTAACAGTGTGCCTCTCTCCTGTATGGCTCTCTCTCATCTGTGGGCGGGGCTTAAAGCGGAGGAATAACGGAGTTGAAGCTTTGAGGAGGCAGAGGAACAGAGATTGAGTGTGCTCCTCATGTGTGTCTTTCGGCGTGCACGCTCGGCACTTCATTGGCCATGGTGTATGTTCTCGCCCACATTTAACAAAGACCTGCCCCTTTTCAGGAGGATCTCTCCGCCGCCATCGTTACTTTACCTGTAATCATTACTAAATAGGATTACGCTACTTTTATCAAATATCGAAACCTCTGTTTTCAACGGCACAGTGTCCGAAATGGAAGTGGTTCAAAATGAGGCCACCACCGAAACCAAAACGGCAATAAATTCTTGGCGTTACCGCCACCATTTCACGTACAAGGCAGACCAAGGAAAAAATATCATCGTTCAATGTAATCTATGCCTTCCGAAGGTTAACCTCTTATCCACATCGAAGACATCCACTTCAAATCTAAAGAAGCACTTAGACGTAAGTCATATAGTATTCTCTAATCAGAGAAAACCTGTAGGTTAATGCGTAAAAACACCGAAAACCCCAGTTACGTTACACGTCTGCTTGTCTATTACTTATTCGTGGCGCTGCAAGATGTCTGCCGTGTGCGCTTTATTTTACTGTTCCGTTGGTTGGCACATGTAGTGTTGTCGGTGCAAGTTTGTTGCTCTGAAGTTGGTTTCTACAACAAATAAAAACTTAAAACGCTTTCATTCTTTCTTTTTTCTTTTTTTCAGAGAACACATTTGGGCTGTGATGCCAGGCCTGATGCCAAGAGAGCAAGGAGAGACGAAAGCTCCCACTGCCAACTCAAAAAAATAAAAGCAGAAATCCTCTCTAAATGTTTGACTCAAACACGGATTGATGATCTTATCTTTGACTTTGTTGTAGAGGACTGTCAGTCCTTTTATCTTCTGGAACAACCTGGCTTCAAAAAACTAATTGCAGGCTTAAGTGAGGGGCTTAAGGTTACAGACAGAGTTACTTTATTCACAAAGGTTGACCTGGCTTTCTCCAAAATGCGTGAGGAGGTGATGTCAAAACTCACCAACATCCAGTATGTTTGCACCACTGCAGACATCTGGACAGCTAATAGTGAGAGCTTTCTGGGAATGACCTGCCACTGGATTGACCCCAATTCCCTGGAGAGGAAGTCTGCAGCACTGGGTTTTGCCAGGCTTCAGGGCAGAGTAACTTATGAGACCATTGCTGGACGAATACATGACATCCACCTTGCATACAATATTGAAGGCAAAGTACAGACAACATTTACTGACAATGGCAGCCCTTTTATCAGTGTTTTCAAGGAGTTTGGTCTAAATAACCAAGAGAAGGATGACATTGGACACTTTGAGAATGTAAGTGCTGTTCTTGATGGTGAGCCAGAGCAGGACATGCTGCTGTTCCTGCCTCCTGTCCAACGCTGCGCCTCTCATACTCTGGAGCACATTGTCACAGAGGACTTTTGGCGGGCTATATCACAGGGCCCCATGTGTCAGCTACATTACAGTGCCATGTCCAAGCTGTACAGCATATGGAATAAATGTCATCACATACAAGTGGGCATGGGCTGTGCAGAGGAGATCGGCAGGATGGCACTAGTTGTTCCCAATGTCATCCGCTGGAATGTGGAGTATTGTGCTATTCAGAAGATTGTCTCACTCAGTGAGCGTGAGCTAACAGAGCTGTGTGCACGTCTTGAGGTCCAGCGATTGCAGCCAGAGGAGATGGCCTTCCTCAAAGAATATGTGACCGTATTCCACCCACTTGCTTTTGCGCTTGAACTTTTTCAAGCGGAACAGAAATGCTATTTTGGTCTAGTCATTCCAACTGTCCTCAGCCTTAAGACAAAGCTGAATGAGCATAAAGATGCAGCAAACTACCTTGGTGATGTTATAAATGCTATTGTTGTGGCCATTGATATGCGCTTCCAAGAGTTGTTTTCTAGCACAGAGGCAAAGATTGCAACTGCAACAACTCCGCAGTTTCGACTTTGGTGGATGGCAGCATCTGAGAGAGAAGAGATGTGCTCTATGCTCGCTTCAATGGCATCTCAAGTAGATCTAAGTGTGGTTACAGATGGTGCAAGTACTGAAACCCTGCCTACCATTCAGTCGGAGGATGACTTCTTTAACTATGGGCCTGTGAAGCCGCCAGTGCAAGTGCAGTCACGGACTGTGACAGAGGAGATTAAGAAATATGTTGAAGGAACAGGAAAGACCCTGGAGTGTCTACAGGACTTTCCCAGAGTCAAGCAGCTATTTCTCAAGTACAACACAATGCTGCCCTCCACAGCACCAGTGCAGCGCCTCTTCAGTCAGAAGGGCAATCTCGTTAATTGTCAGAGAAACGTTCTCACTGATGGCTATTTTGAACGTATTCAGCTCTTGAAATACAATGGTCATCTGTACACAGCCACCACCAAGTAAATCACTTTATTATTCATGATAACTGTTTTTCATTTGCAGGATCAAATGTGTCATGGACATATCACCAAAGTAAACCCTACAAACTGTCTTGTTTCAGTACTACAAAATGTTCAGTTCAGTAATTGCCTTCTTGTATATAGAATATGTAAGTGACAATCGTAAGCAAAAAAGGAAGAAAAAAATGGCATACATTAAGACAACTATTCTGTCATTGTGATTTGAGGTAGTCACAGGGTTTAACTCAAGTGATTGTGTCTGATGATTTTTTTTCTACAGCTGTTGTATGCAAATGCACCTTCACTTATATTTTTTATTATGTATAAAATATGACTGAACACTCACATGTCTTGGGTTTTTAATAAATATTCTTCTTCTTCTTATATTTGATACATGTATCAATTCTTGCTTTTCTGGAATACTTGGATGTTACTTTTGGAAGTGCCCACTGCACATTCACTTAATATAAAAATATGGACCAACACTAAACATCCTGTAAGAAAATAACAGGAGCCCTGACATAAGGCAGGAATTTAACTGACAAAACGATTAGAAGAAATCCACATACTCAATACTCAAAACCAAATCAGACATTTTATTAACATCAGAATACAAATATTACTTTTCAAAGTTTTCTTCTCATGTTAACGCACACACACACACTATTGTATTAGGCACAATGTGGATGTTCAGTATAATTTAGTGTGTGGGCTGTCCCTTAAATCAGCCTCCATCTATAAAAACTACCATGGTTCCACTAATGCATAAATCTGACTTGATTTTAAAAAGGGAGCATGGTAAGTTATGTACTCACTTCACATTTCAGATGTTATAAACACTAGTCATCTTGCTTCTGGTTTAGAAAGGTAATGTTTGTAGCAACCCATAGCAGAAATAAGTTTCATTCCCAATTCCCTTTTTCCACTTTTCAATATTGTCTAAGTAAAGAAAAGTTAATGTCACTGAAGGAGTTTTGCAGGGCTAAAATGGCCTAGATTCTCACAAGATTTAAGCCAACGCTGGACATTAGCAGGGGCAGAGGAGGCAGGGACACTTTTTTGCATACAACAGAAACAAGCAATGTCTGCCAGAGAGAAGTCGACCCCAGCCACCCATGGGCTACGTCCCAGAGCAGAATTAAGAGCACGCAGAACAGTAGCTCGCTCCTTAGGACCACCCTCTGCCAGCTGAAAGAAAGCGGTGTCCACCCAACTATCTACCAGTGTTGCCATTACAGGGTCAGAGGGGTAAACGCTGAGCAGCTTGAAGAGGAAGCGGGCTACGTTGGCTTCCCCTTCAATAGGGCACATATTTTGAATGCTGAACTTCATCTGGAGCTTTGGAACTGTGGAAAGGGCACAAAGAAAATAGGCAATTAGTAAAACAGTAAAGTATTGGATATTAGCTGCTTACAAAATGAATGTTAATTTGTATTTTCTTACAAATACAAATTATGATTTGGACACCTAGTACCTACAGATAGGATGACACAGCTTTAAAGAAGACCTAGTGTATTTGAGTCTGCTACATAGCTATAATCTCACATCCGTAGATCATTAACATGTTATAATTTGCACATTTTAAATTGCAATATTTGGCATATTTTTTGCATAATAGGTCTGCTTAAGGTCCAGAATACCCATGATTAGAACAATTCTGCAAACTTTCTTAATAAATTACTGTTTACCATTTTTCCATATAAGCGTGAAGCCAAGTTGGAATAGTTGCCGAGCATAGCTGTCTGCATGGCGTGGTCCGAGGCAGGACAGGAGCTGTGGCGGAACACTGGATACGGAGGAGTGCACATGGACAGATGACAGAACTCGGTAACGTTGGCACAGCAGGCCATGGAGCACAAACAGAGTCAGAGGTGGTTCAGCAGGGTTGGCATTGATTACAATATCACGAAGGGCACCAAGGTCCTGGTAACATAAGAGCAAATAGACAATATACTCAACAACATGCATCTCAAAACAAAAGCTGAACTGAAACTACTTGATACAATGTTGTGACTTTGTGAGAAAGTAACATTTAATTGGGTGTGTCCACAACATGATGCCTGAGCTGAGGTAGAATGAATGGAATTTACCTTGCCCAGTAGCAATTCCAGGTCAGCCGGGCTTTGGAAGGTCGTGTCTGTGGGGCTCTGGGAAGATAAGCTGCTGCTGACTGTCAAGTCCAGATCTGCGTCTGGAGTGGTCACAGTCTTGGCCAGTCCCTCTACTGCCGCTTTCAGCTCATACAGTTTACGCATAATCTCATCTTGACGAGCCTCCAGGGCTTTAACAGCGGGGTCCAGTTCACCATTCTGTCAAACAGCACAACAACACACACTTTAAAAGACTGTGCAGTGAAAACAGGTACAGAGAAAGTGTTCAACCATACTGAAACCACACAAATATTTTAAAATAAATGCAAAAAAAGACACGCGGGAAGCAGAATCAAACTTGTTCATCATCTGTTCACGAAGGACAGTGTTGGGAAGGTTACTTTTAAAATGTATTCCCCTACAGATTACAGATTACATACCCTAAAATGTAGTTTGTAACGTAATCCATTAAATTACTTAAAGTGAGTAATGTAATCTGAATACTTTGGATTACTTGATTTGCTGTAGAGAAGCAAAGACTAGGAAATCTTCACATAAGAAGTTTTGTCTGATAAAAGAAAATAAAAAGCCCAGACTTTACTTAACCAAATTAAAAATATTATTGATAAAAGAGGAGACACGGTCCGCGCAGCATGGTTTAGTCCTGTTAAATCCTGTTTGAGACATAGTTTAGACCTGGGTTTAGTCCTGGTTTAGTCCTGGTTTAGATCTGGTTTAGATCTGGTTTAGATCTGGTTTTAGATCTGGTTTTAGATCTGGTTTTAGTCCTAGTTTAGATCTGGTTTAGTCCTGGTTTAGTCTTGGTTTAGTCCTAGTTTAGACCTTGTTTAGACCTGGTTTTAGACCGGGTTTAGACCAGGTGTAGTGTCCGGCAATGAGTGGAATTACTGAAAAAAAAAAAAAAAAAAGGGATATAGCCCAAAATGTGAAAACAGGAAAATACCTCTGTGTAATCCATTTATTTTAACAAAGTAACTGTAATCTAATTAGCACTCACTTAAACAGTAACTGTAACTGAATACAGTTACTCATAGTTTGTACTCTGATTGAGTAACTCTGGTACATGTAATCTGTTACTCCCCAACACTGATTAAGGACCACTCTTATCGCTTACAATCACAATAAAAGAAAGAAGGAGAGAGCCAAGTTTATAGGCTAAGCTCCAAAAAAAAAAAAAAAAAAAAAAAAAAAAAAAAAAAGAAGCAAAGGAGCCGGAAGACGGATTTGCTGGATCCATTCACGCTTTTTGTCCCCAGCTTGATCATTCTGTATGAGGCAACATTGCATGATCATGAAGACATGTGACACTTCATTGCGAATTAAATATTCATATAAGGGAATGGTGCAAAACTATATATTTACACATTTTATGGTGAAAGGCATGCAGACTCAAATGTGCTGTCTTTACTCAAAGGAGTTAGCAGTTACCTGGAGCGCGTGGTCGGAGACGGAGCTGTTCCCGTCCTGCGTGTGGATATTTGGTAATTTGTACATGCACGTGGGTAAATCAACTTCTATGTGACCGCCACACACTGGCTTTACCTGATACATGGGCATGGTGACGATTGGACCCTGGCACGACCCTTTAATTTCTAACTAGGTCCTGGCCACAGATGCCCTCAGCGGCTGATGTTGACAGGCAGCAGCAACAGTGCAGCCCGTAGCGGAAGTACAAAGCAGGCCGCGTTACGTCACATCCGCTACAAGAAATAAAACGTCAAGACTTTTTTCAAATCAACAATTCACTTAGTAAGCATGTGAATGTTATGTGCAAAACTATTTTTCTTCATTTTAATATTTTTTATCACTCCGTTTCTACTTCTACTCCACCTCTACAGGCATATATTACATGTAGCTATCACTTATCTACACTAGATGGCGCCTGTATAACATAAGATCAGAAATGAAAACCATTTATTTGTGCCACACTGGGGAAATTTATGTGTTGCAACACAGGGTACAAGAACAGCAAGAGGGTAAAAGTGCAAGTGTAAAATTTAGATATCACAACATGCTTTAGTGAGTAAAGATCCAGAATAGGACTTAAAAAATAATAAACTTCAGTCTTGTACAAGTAGAGTAGAAGTAGAGAGAAGCTATAAGGCTACAAAACTATTATGTAAGTGGCTATGACCATGCTGCATATGGACAAGCATAAGTAGCAGGTAAAAAGGCAGTGTATTGCATGGGTGGTGATTTAGATTATGTTACAGTAGTGCTCATGGTTACTACAGGTGGATGACATATATGCAGGGCTAGTGGTGTAGTTCACATTCTATAAATACAAAAAAATAAAATAAAAATAAATAAATAAATAAATAAATAAATCTGAATGGAAGAAGACTGAACAGGTTATTTGATTCAAGTACAACTCAAGTAGAAACAACTCAAGTAGAACAACTCTAGTAGAAATGCATGTATCCCGACATTCCTGATAGTCCTATGCTCCTCAGAAATAATTCTTAGTAAAATGAAATAATCCATGCCACGGTAAAATTGCAGAATTTGTAAGATTGTGCTCACTAAAACACAGAACTTAAAGATATTTTAGTGTTTAAAAAGTAGAGTAAAATAAATTATGAAATATTTAGACCTGTAAAAATTAGACATAAAGCATGTTATAAAAGCATGTTAAAATTGTGATGACATTGGTGATAACATTGGACAATAATGCCAACCATCAGAAACAGTAAAAATCACACTTAATCATCTGGTCGATAAACTTAATTGCGTAACATGCTGTAGCAAGTGATTGTTTGACTCAATTACACAAGGCAAAACAATCCTCTACTACTAGGAAGCAACCTAAGAGGCTGTAACTTGGCTTGATCTCTTTCTCAGGTTTGACGTATCATTATCAGAGGTGGCTAGTTACATTTACTCAGTTTAGCCTATTCCAGGAACTTTTTGTATATTTTACTCCTGCATGAGGATTACTTTGTTTAAAGTAACAGTACAAAAAAACTTTGGTTAATCTTCACACTGTCAGTAAGTTATGTTGACAATATTATTATATATTTTTTGTAACTTGCACCACTCCTTCACTCCTTTATTACTACATTACATATATTTTTTGTCTTTACAAATAAATCAACTTCAAGTTGTAAATGTAAATATTTTTATGTATTGTCTAGACAGTTACTCTTTCTCAAGTAGTAATATTTTCCCCAAATATTTGTTGTACTTTTACTTTGTGCTTTTATAATATCATGCACTTCTTGTACTTGTACTAGTAATATTATTTTTTATATTACTCTTACTTGAGTACACTGTTGCGTACTCTCACACTGCGGATTGTAATGCAGACATTATGCTGTCACCTGGCCTTTAACACTTCTCCACATTCTCAAATCTTAACCTTGTTGCAAAGGCCTAATGAAAAAGTGCAAATGAGTTTGTCTTGTTACTCTGAATTATTTAATGTTCTTTGAAATCAGATTAGAAACAAAAGCCCAAATGACACAGGGGTGTGTGTCTATGAGGTAAAGGCCTGTGGGAAACCAGGCCTGGCAGAGCAAAGGTCAATGTGAGGTGAAGTGTCATTGCCTTGAGCCCATGGCCCATACACTGACAATGCAATCAGTCAGATATAGTGGAATGTTTACCAATAACTGAAATTCCCTTTATGGTAAATTTGGTTTGACAACCAGCTGGTTGGGACCTCCATGCAAATTGCATTAAGTAATGACTGAAGAAGTTTTATTAAAAATATAAATATTTTCTTTTATTCTTTTATGAGACGATTTAGAAAAAGTGTTTCAACATGCGTAAGGAAAAAGCCGCATTGAATTTTTGTATCTGTGGTAAATCACAGAAAAACAGTGAGCCCACTGTTATGGATAACAGAAATTACACTCCCTTCTTCAGACCCATACTATGCTATGGCCTGGGTTCAAATAGGGTAAAAGTAAAATTCACTGAATTAAAAACCGACACAGGGGCCCATACCATGACCGGTACTGGTACAATGGTGACCGCTGTGACAAAGCACAAAAAATAGACAGATATTTAAGTCATACATTTTGCAAAGTCATGCTTGTGAAATAGATTGTGGTGCAATTATCCACACTGACAATTGTGTAACATTACACAGACTGCCAATCAGTCCCATTCCTCTAGCCAAAATCTTATCTGATTGTAGCTCCTTATTTGGATGAGTCTGTAAAGAGTGCCTAAAGAGCCTCCTCCATCCTCTCTCTCTCTCTCTCTCTTGCTCCGCTCTCGCTATCTCTTTCTCTATCCTCTCTCACTCTCTTCCTCTCTCTCTCATGCACTACCTGTCCAACCTGGTGTGGCTTACTCTATTTGAATCTGACAGACCTTTGAAAACTTCAACTAAGTAGAAGTGTCACCAATATGCAACAGCTTACATGGAAATAGCCTGCACTGTGCTTTCCCTCAATCAATATGGAATTGCTACTGATATGTGCATGGGCCATTTATCATTCATTAATGAAGAGAACCTGTGTGCACCTCCATCATAAGTAGAGTCTCAGGACTAAAGCTTGTTGGTGAACAGAACCAGTGTTGTCATCCCCTGCATTATGGATAGAGTTCCTCCACAGAGCTCATTCAGCCCATTCAGTCATCCTAACACGCTAGTTAAATCTTTCACGATGTTCCTCAGCGTTCAGACTATCAGATAGCCACATCTCCAGTAGCCACAGCATCCCAAATGCTATGACCTGGTCCAAAAGTGATCACCTTTGGGTCCCATCGGAAGTACAGTAACTAGTAACCTGTGCTCACACGAGGATCACACGTTTTTCTGAACACCCTACGTGCACATTAAAGTTTCACATAGACTTAATCAGTAAGGTGAGACAGACACTCCTTTCTTGATATGAGTTTTTGTGACAATGAAGCTGAGGCATCAATTATTGAAGTAGACAAGCAGACAGGTAGGCTGGGTCTCTGTCCATCCCATACAATGGACTACAAAGCAAAGCTGCATCTAGCACAATGTAACATGCAATACAATGGGAAAGCGTGCTGCGTAATGGCATGTGTTACACAATGAAAAGGGAAACAAACAAACAAGTAAGAGGGTCCAAATTTCACAGAAGGTTGACAGTAAGGCGTGTCACATTTCTTATGTCTTTGCATATTTTGTGGAGGTGTGTGGCATAATGCAGAGACAAGCCTGTTTATGCACTCTGCAGCAGGGATGGAACAGCTACTCTGGGGTTTGGGGCCCATGAGACCCAGTCATTTAATGTCATTTAAAGGTGCTGTTTTGTCCATAAGTGAAGAACATCTCCGCCCAATTTGTCCCTTGTCTCACAAGGGCCACAAGTTACTGGCAATGTTACAGACAGTTATGGAAAGCGTCTGCACGCAATAAAATTATTTTTGGGCTTTGAACCTTATTTTGATCTCCTCTATATTTTCTCAGAACATGAACGTCACTTTTTGATGTTGATGAAATTTGTTAAAATCGTGCTGAATACGCATATTTATCTTATATTACTTTATCATGAAAATTTGCATTTTTAAAGTTTTATTTTTATGTTTAATTTAATACTGTCTACACAATTATTCTGACATGCAACATCAAAAGTCCTTCAAGGGTTTTAAAGTAAAAGAATGCAGAATCAATCTTTAGTTTTCTACAGTTCTGTATTGTCTTGAACAGAATCCAACACACACTGAAAAAAAAAAAAAAAAGGTCACTGGATTTGCATAAAAAAGTTATGGAAAGCGGTTGCATGCAATAAAATTATGTTTAGGCTTTGAAACTTATTTCGCTCCCCTCTCAGAACATGAACATCACTTTTTCATGTTGATGAAATTTGATCAAATCATGCTGAATATGCATATTTATCTTATGTTACCTTATCGTGAAATGTATAAGTATGTATAATTGAATTTAATTGATCTAATTCTGTAAAATAATACAAAAACAGTCTTTAGTTTTCCACAGTTCTGTATTGTCTTAAACAGAATCAAACGCACAGAGAGCACAAGTACAGAGACACACAGTTTGGAGCTGGACAGTGTGAAGATTTATTCCAGTGAAGACGCTCTGGTCTCTGCCTGTGGACACAGGAATAACACATGATCACATTCTGATGATCTACTCTGTTGTACATGTTTAAATACATTTAAAGTACCTATAATGGACCAGAACAGAATCACAAGAACATTAGAACTGTATCTGCAGAAACAAAACTCACCGTGTGCTGCTTTTCTTCCTCTAAATGCAGTAACAGGTAGGGCATCTGGTATAAAGTCCTCCTAGTGCCACATCACCCTGTAGAAACAGGAAAACTGTTTCGATAGGAAGTTCATTTTGAAAAATTCGTTTAAAATCATTTTAGTTGAGTTACTTACTTTGTTCATCTGTGGTCTGTGTTTTGTTGGTTCTCAAACATCTTCCTTTTTTTCTGAAACATCAGCTGTAACATTCATGAACTTCCCCACAGCTCCAGCAGAGCTCTGGACGTCACTCTTTGTTTGTAGACGACTCTGGAACAAACACATTCAAATCTTAGTACAACTGTCACCCTCTTGTAGATGGACAGTCAAAGACAATTTGTTTCAAGGAGTCCTTACATTAACTCTAATTTCAAATAAAACACCACAAACATATTTTAACAATGACATCATTCTAGTCCAGCGAAGCACATAACATCTTTGAAAAGTCTTACCTCCAGATCAGCTCTC